ATTATGTAAAATATTCCTATGGTTCCAAAGCCAAATCCACAAAACAAAGGAGCCAGCTTCTGTTCCAAACCCCTACACCCTATTCTTTCTCCCACTGCTTAATGTCTGCTTTAATCTTTCCATTGTTAATTTTAACCGAAATCTGATAAACATTGCAAATTTAAAAATCAAATGAGTTTGTTGCAAGAGCAACTTTGATTGGATTAAAGACAGGAATGTGTGTGCCCAAGGCTGTTGTTTGTCCCACATTGCAAGTGGCTGTCAGTGAGGTCAACAGATCCATGTGGTRTGGGGGACCCTGGTATTGGCCCTGCTGACCAGGCTGTCCCCATCAGGTTCCATTACAGAATAGCACCCACGCTGGCTAGGTCAGCAGGAGGTGACTCCTTGGAGGACGGGAGGGAACCTGCTATGGAGTCCCACTGATCTCAGTCCTGCTGTGGAATGGGAGATACTGCCTTGTGCATCAGGAAAATGGTGATTCTGGACCCACTGGGGGTGGGGGAGCTTCCCTCTCCAGGAAACGGGCACCCATGCCATCTGGCCAGTGGACACACAGTGCTGGATGCCGGCCCCCAGAAGACCAAACAGCTCCGCCCTGGGCTTGCCCAGGGCAGCGCCCCTYCCCCTCTCCATATGCCCAAGAGTGCCTCTCCCAGATCAGGGCTGCCAGGGCCCAGGAAGATCATCCTGAGCTTCATCCACTGCAATTCAGGAAGAAAGGGGGAAAGAAGGATGGACAGGAGGCTGGGGCCTGGGCACGGGGGCGGGCTTTGCTGTTTGTCAGGACTTGTGATGGCAACATGAGTGGTATGATGTCAGGACCCCAAGGTGAAGTCATGTCCTGTGTCCCGAGTGAACCCTGGGGGACATTTCGAGATGATTTACTTCAGGTGAGTCTTGCCTGCATGTGATGTGGGCCCTGGACACTAGGTTCTCGCCCTGGGTGAGTGCAGCTCCATCCTGCCGCTGCTCCTGCTGGGATTTAGGCAGGGGATTGGCTCTGGGTTTTGACTTCCAGAAAGTGTTCTGAGGCTTGTCACCAGGAATAAGTTGTGTTGTGCACCAGACTTGAGGAACATCTTCATTCTTTTTTTTTTTTTTTTATAAAGAGAGAATGAGAGAGGAGAGAGAGAGAGAGAGAGAGAGAGAGAGAGAGAGAGAGAGAGAATTTTTAATATTTATTTTTTAGTTCTTGGCGGACACAACGTCTTTGTTGGTATGTGGTGCTGAGGATCGAACCCGGGCCGCACGCATGCCAGGCGAGCACGCTACTGCTTAAGCCACATCCCCAGCCCCTGCATCTTCATTCTTAAGCCCTGAGTTTTAGGATTGAAGACGGTCGCCTTTTCAGCCACGGCCCCCCCACTGGCGGCTTTATGGCCCAGGGAGCACAGAGCATTGCAGAAATCGAGGTGGGAGAATAAGGCGGGAGCTGTTTGTCCATGCAGAAACGTGTCTCCCACATTCAGCAAAGCAACACAGGGACCCCTGCTATTAATACAGACATGCTACAACTTCCGCTCGATTCTCGAGATTCTCCACTCCTGGAACTTGGGGCTCCTGAAAACAGTGGGCCACATTCACTGTCACTGGATCTAAATAGAACAACTTCAGAGGAAGGTGCTCCAATGCCTGTTGTGCACGTGTAGCGGGTGCTGGGTCTGTGGGGGACGACTGCTAACAGGGAAGCCGAAGAAGGTGCCTCACTGAGGACGTGCTGCTTGGGGTCCATCATTAGTAGCCTCTAGACACATTTATCTAGAGGACTGATTCTGTCACAGGAGTGCAGGCTTCTGTCATCAGCTCGAGCATTGCAAAGTTCTAAACTCCAGAGGAGATAACAGCCCACCAGGCCACTGGGGAATGCACACTGGAGCCTTGTAAATACCTGACTTATGTCTCTTGGCTCCATCAAGAGCCTCCTACAGCGAAACCAGACAGCGTCTGCTGGAGAGCACGGGAGCACTCACCTGGGCAGGTGTTTTGACCAAAGGTAGCAGCAGTGGTATTTGAATGGATAGCTCCTGAGGTTGGTAATTATTTTTCTGATTTGATAACTACATATTTTATTATCCTCATTAAACCCAAGGGCCATGTAATCCTGTCCTAGTATTGAAGACTGTCCCTCAGTGACAACTCGAACAGTGTCACATTTTAGCACAGCAAAATTAATGCCAAGTGAATAGCTGTCAAGTTCTCATGCAAACATGGCAGCTCCTCTCCCTGCTGCTCCAAGGACAACAGGCAACAGGGGGATCTTCCAGAATAACAGATCATTTTTTTTAGAAAGTCCCATGAAATAAAGTACTTATTTGAATACATAATTTTCCACACACAATAAAGAATAAATATACTAAGAAGTACATTTCCTCCTGAGTCCTCACTGAATGGTATTCCACACAGGTCAGAGTGAGCCTGGGTGTCCCGCTATAGATATTCTCATACACACACAGTTTTGGGCTCAGGTTATTAATACATCAGTTTTATTAGCCTCATCTTGATTTTTTAAAAGAAAAAATCCAAACTACATCAATAACATGAGCATYGTTTCCTACATTTATTACTTTTTCCTTTGCATTCCAACTCTGCCAACCCAGGAACWGGACTGAGCACCACCTCCCCTTCCCCACTGCTGGTGGCCTCTGAGGTACTCCTGAATGTCACCGCCTCATTGACTTAGGGAAGCGGTCGTTGATGTCCAGGTAAGGACCTTGAGGAGCTAACCAGCAGCAGACAAAGGCATTCTAAAATCCCCCAAGGAAGGCGTTCCCCACCTGGTCACCAGCAGCCCAAACTCATGTTGTCATTTGCTGAAGTATTTAAATCTAGAAAAGACGGGACACTGAAGGACCCAGAGTGAAGCTGAGCTTCTGGCTATGAAAGTCGCCAGGGTCCACTGACCCACGTCTCAGATGGAATCCTCCACATCCATGTCCCCAGGCAAAAGAGAGCCCCAACCTGTTCTGAGCTCTACTCTCTAAGGCACCCTGGCCTCTGTCCCGCGAGCAGGGAGACCCCTCAGCTGCTCAGGATCCTGGGCTGGGCTGCTTTCCTTTCCTCTAACCTCTGCCTGGTGGAGCTGGAGGAGAAAGAGACAGAGAGCAGCACACAGAGGCAGGGGGTGGGGGTGGGGCGGGGCGTGCCCACAGACCACGAGCCAGCAAAGCTCTTCCCGAAAGTGCCTTCAGTCTGGAGAGGAGAAGGTGCACCCAGCCGACTTCCCCCAGGCCCACCGGGTGCTCCCGGGATCCCCCAGCCTGAGCCCAGGTGGTTGGTAAAGGAGTAGCAAGTCCCTGCCCTGGGGCTCTGAGCCAGCGGGGAGAGAGGCCAGCTGGGGAAGGAGCAGGCCCTTTCCATCCTCAGGGAGGCTGTCCCCAGCATGGGACGCTGGGGACTTGGCTGCAGCTCTTTTGTTCCTCAATTTTTTATTTGAAAAAATGGTAAAGAAAGGGAGGAGGAAAGCTACTTTGCTGCTCTGGATGAGCCGTGGAGTGGAGGAAGGAGTGCCATCAGGCCGGCCGGTGGGGCTGGGTGGGCTACTGTAGAAGGACCCTTTAGTCAGGGGGTGGTGAAGCCCTGGGTCTCCAAGAATCTGCAAATAGCGCTGCTCGGCGTGGGGTGTCTGAAGGCCTGCTCTCCACAGAACGCCCCTTCCTTGAGGACTGGAGGAAAACGTCCTTATGGCGGCCTGCACGCTGGCCCTGGCAGAGGGGTGCAAAGGGCCTGCCAGAGCCCTCCACAGGTTCCCCACCTTGCTGCCCGCTGCCTGTCCCCAGGACTGGCCTAGACCGAGCACTCACCAGCCCGGGTTCAACTTCAATAAAAAGGCCCCGTCTGCCCTGGATCACGCGGCTCGCCTGACAGCCCCGCTTAGGCCCGGGCCTAATTGAGCCCGGGTCACCTGGGAATAGGTTCAAAGGCATCAACGCTGTAAACCACCTCCAGGCCCCGAGCCAGAGGGCCGGCGAACAAAGAGACCCCGAACCACTTCAAAAGCGCTGGCGCTCGGCATCCAGATGGCGCGGGGCCGGGTCCACGGTGTCTCCCTCCAAGGCAGAGCCCCCAAGCTCCGCAGCTCTGCGCTCTCCTACTCAGAGCCGCCCCATGGCGCCGGCGTAGGGGACGCTGGGCCCTGGCGGCCCGCGCAGCTCCCAGAGCGTCCCCTTGCAGTCAGGCGAAGTGAAGGGAGAGAGCAGAGGCCGGGCGGGTCACGCAGGCCGGGCGGGCGCCCCCAGCAGCGCCCAGCACCGTGCCAAGACCCGGTGGGCCGCGGCGGCGGCACCGCGCACACCCGAGACCTTCGCTGTGGCCTCAAATTCTAAAACATTTAAGGGGAAAGCTCGGGAAGACGTCGGGGACGGGGCTCCTCAGCCATCGGGGTAAGAAACGGCCCCCAACACGTGGACTGGCCCTAGGGGATGGCGTCTCCAGGGATCCTGAAGTTCGGTCCGTGGGGGTGGGCTTCTCTGCGGGCACCCGAGTGTCCGCCCCGCCCGGTGAGCTCCGCTCTATCCAGGCCCCAGTGTGTGGACCGCGGCGAGGACTCGCTGCGCGCCTGGGGGCGGCTAAGACCTACTGGAATCTGGGCTCCCCACAGGCTCCGGGTGCGTCCTCACGTCCCTGGAGCGCATCTGGGGTTGGACTTGCCCCCTGAGCCTCTTACAGAACTCTGCGACCCCGCTGGGCGGATCTCCACGTTAAGGGGCAGACAAAGCCAGGCCTGGCTGGGCCTAAGGCTCAGGGAGGCTGATGAGTGGCCCAGGCCCGGAGTCGGGGCGCGGGCGGTCGAAGGGGATGCCGGCAGCTTTCAGGGAGGAAAAACGGCAAAACTGAAAGTGCCGCGCCGGGGGGCGGGGGCGGCCGGCGAAGGCCCCAGGACTCGTCCTGCCCCCGGCCCTGGTGGCCAATCAGCGCGCCGCTCTTGCTCCTGACAGCTATTTAGCAACCCAGCCGGGCTAGAGTTTCCAAAAAAGTTAGAATAACTTCCTCTCCCGGAGACCTCGGTTTTGCACAAACCGGCCCGTAATCAGAGCCTTTCCAGCAACTCGAGAGCGTGTGCTCCGCGGCCGCGGGCTTGGCCAGCGGCGCCCGGCGCCTCCAGCCCCACGCGCGCCGGGCGGGCGTCATGGAGGAGGGCTCCAGCTCGCCCGTGTCCCCCGTGGACAGCTTGGGCACCAGCGAGGAGGAGCTCGAGCGGCAGCCCAAGCGCTTCGGCCGGAAGCGGCGCTACAGCAAGAAGTCAAGCGAAGATGGCAGCCCGACCCCGGGCAAGCGCGGCAAGAAGGGCAGCCCGAGCGCGCAGTCCTTCGAGGAGCTCCAGAGCCAGCGCATCCTGGCCAACGTGCGCGAGCGCCAGCGCACCCAGTCGCTCAATGAGGCCTTCGCTGCACTGCGCAAGATCATCCCCACGCTGCCCTCGGACAAGCTCAGCAAGATCCAGACGCTCAAGCTGGCCGCCAGGTACATAGACTTCCTCTACCAGGTCCTGCAGAGTGACGAGATGGACAATAAGATGACCAGCTGCAGCTACGTGGCCCACGAGCGCCTCAGCTACGCCTTCTCCGTGTGGCGCATGGAAGGCGCGTGGTCCATGTCCGCCTCCCACTAGCGCCGCGCCACCCACCTCCGGACCGGCGCACCAGGGTAGGTGCTGTGCGTGCGATTGGGCGCCCTCCGTTGCAGGGGCGGGCGGGCCGACCCCAGGGTGTCTGGGGCCTGTGCATCCCTCCTAGTGGAGGCCCCGCGGGCCGCGGCAGCGTGAATGGGGTGTGCTTTCTCTCCTAAAGATGGGTGAGGGGCAGCCCAGCAGTTTCTAAGACCCAGAGGCATCCTGGAGGCCTTTTGCAAAGTGTGTCAGTTGGGGACCCACAGACTGGTGACTTCCAGCAAGGTCCAGGAGTACCTAGAGGAACTCTTGCATTTTCCATTCTTGGTGGTGTGTGTGGGTGTCTGTGGATGACTGTAGGGGAGACTCTCCTAGCGCCGGTCAGGGCAGGGAGACGGTGATCCTTTCACCCCTCGGAGCCCGGGTGGCCAGGGGAGCTGCTGAGAGAGTCGTGTCGGACTTGTTGCTCTGCCCTTGTCGGATGGAGCGGCAGAGTGCGCTCTTGGTGCGGACACTCAGAACTCGCTGGCTGCTCCTACAGGGAGTCCTGGCCTGCGCTTTGGGTGGCCGGTCCAGTGGGTGCAGAGATGCGGGCCTGAGGCACTGGGGCTTACCCTCGGTGGACAAGAGGACGCTGTCCTGCGCTTGCGTCTCGGGTGTCAGCGGGGCGCAGGGCGGAAGACAGCTCTAGTCTGGAGCACCGGAGACCCGGCCTAGCGCGCGCGCAGAGCCGAGGGTGGAGCAGACCTGGCGGCTGAGAACGCACGCCCGGCCGCGGATATGCAGGTGGAGGGGAGCTAAGAGCTGGGAGCCTCGGGTTCCGACCTTGAAATTTGGAAAGCCGGGCAGGGATCCTCCGTCTGTGTGAGTCCAGCGTACTGACCCGCAGGCAGGCGCTAGGGCTCCAGGCTAGGAGATGATGGGTCTGGGGGAAAAGAGGCCGTGTGCGCCTGGCCCTGYGGGGGAGAAGACCACCGGGATTTGGGGCAGAGACTCAGGACTGGTTTCCTTTGGAAGAGCACTCAGGGCCCCGCATCCGCTCCTTCTCACCAGACACCTACCCAGTCCGGTCGACAGACTCCAGCCGCGGAGGCGCCGTCCTCTCGCCGAGGCTGTGAGGCAGCGGGCACCTCTTCCCCGGGCCTCCGGCGGCGGCGGTGGAGAGGAGCAGGATCTCTTCTTGCCCAGGGGCGCGGTGGGGACGGAGAACGAGTTGAAAACCTTCTCACCTAGTGTGTTTCAGTTTTCCGACTTTGTGATATTTTTATAAAAGTCTCTGCTTCACCCAGAAAAAAATTAAGACAAATCTAGAGCGGGTCATCCATTCTCCCAAAAGTATCCATTTCTTTTTCTTGTGGTTTTGTAATATCAGCGGGGGTCCTGCTGTGGCAACAAAAGGGTCCAACTACTGCAGGTTGGTTTTCTTTCTTTTTTCTTTGTCTTTTATTTCTGCATCACTGAAAATTTTCTTGACAAAATAGCCCCCTAAGACCATGACAGTTTTATCGTTTTAAAGAATAATTTTTAACAGAGAATAACTGTGGGAATCTTCTGTCTTTGTCAAAAACAGATGGAAACTGTCTCAATCGCCTATTTCTCTAGGAATGAAAGTCTGGATTGGCCAAGTACTAAATGCTACAGAAGGATAATACATTAATTCTGGTTTTTGTTGCCTAAATTATGAGCTTTCCTTAGTGACTTCCATTTACCCTTTATACCATCCGCAGTTTACACCACATATGAAATAAGAAGAGACAGATGAGGAATGCCATCCTTTAAACACACACACACACACACACACACACACACACACACAGCTTTGTTTAAGGAGAATGTCCACAGCTTTATCCTTAAGACTACCCTCCAAAAATTACTGAAAAAAAAAAAAAAACAAAAACAATGCCAGGAGATGCTGTCCCAATGAAAAATTCTGCAGGAACATTTAAAATTTATTTAAAAATAATCTCACTCTGTAAAACCTAAGAGAGTCAATCACAGACCACAATTAAATATGAGATAAACACAAAACACAATACCTGTGATAAATAAGTGAAAACTGTTAAAAGCTTGCTTGGACAAAAGCCCTTCATGTATTAGATAACACACTCAGTTGGAGAGCCACCGATCTTTATGTGGGCATATTTACTTTTTATACCATTGAATGTAATGGCTAAGGCAGATAAACCCGCTCTTTGCATAGTTGATACTGCCTACAAGAGGAACCGTCTGAACCCTGCCTGCTTACCACCAGCAGGCGCGGCAACAGCTTCGTCTTCGCTCTCTCCTTTTTTTTTAACTCATTTTCTCTTTCAGCATACTCAGTACTAATTTGTTTGACTTCTGGAAATGTTGTTCAGCGGCGTGTGATTTATTTGTGCTATTTCCAAGAAGCATTTATGACATGTATCAGCAAAACATGTCTGGATATTTCCAGGCTTGGTAGGTGGTTCTATGTCTAGTGAGAGATTTTCACGCACAGGAAGGCTGTGTGACCGGCAGCAGGAGCAACAAAAGCCGAGGATGGAGGATGGGGGGCTGTGCAGGTGCTCCCCTTCACCTCTCTCCTGCTGTGTTGCCCAGTCAGCTGGACTCAGGTAATTGAAAAGTCCCCACAGGAGCGCTGAGCGTCCTGGTGAAATGCCTGACCTCTGAGAGGGTCAGAGCGCCTGGCTTGGAGGCGCGTGGAGGCCACCACTACTTACCAGGCGGAACGCGCTGGTTCTCCGTTCCTCATTACAGAAAGCATCTTCTCTTACCTTCTGCTGAGTTAGACTTGGCAGGCTTTCAGTATGGGACGCACTCAACGAACTAACTCATTGCTTTTCCTTTCTGACAACTCTTCTCCTTTGGAGAAGGCACCCGATCCTCTTACCACCCCATACAGAGAGCCTCCCTTGCCCCTCAAACTTGGCTTTTTGGAGATGCTTGTTAACTCCTGTATTGGGGATGCTAGCTGGTCTCAAAAGAAATTTAATTCCCTGTGGAGAAGAATGGAAATGCAGATCCCAGTGGAGCTCTTGACTGGGAAGAAGTGGAGTGCAGGGCCCAGCTGCTGGGACATGAGCAGTGCTCCGCAGGGTCTGGAGGAAGGATCGGCCTCCGCTGGGTGCTTCCTGGCCCCTTAAATATCAGTAGCTGTTTTTCCAGTCTGGTGTCAAGGACCTCTGGCCGAGTGGGAGCTGTGGGGACGGGACCTGTGGGTGGCCGTTTGAGGCCATTTGAAATAGAAACCTTTATTGAGGTTTTTCTGAAAACACCWATTTTTCTGACACATCATGAGCCTGAAAGAACTGTTCTTGTGGGCCTTGCTCGCCTGTGTCCCGAGTTGCCGGCRTGGATGCCGGATTCCTTTTGCCTGGCAAAAAGATCATAAAGTAAACTTCTTCGGTGCGGAGTACTGTAACGCATAACTTGAGTTTAAATCAGGGCTTTAAAAAAAAAACAAATATTTTAATAAGCCAATTTTAAAGGCTAAGCTTTTATGACAGTTTTTGAGCTGAGTATTTATATCAATCTATTCTCACTGGTGTCTTTAAGAACCCTGGGCATGGAGGCTGGAATGTCTGTTTATGTTTGTGTCTTTCCTGGGAAAGGATAAATGTGCTGCAAAAAGCAAACCAAAAGCAAAGCTCTCTGCTAGCAAAGAGTTCACAAAAGAGGCCATAAAATTCAAAGAAGAGATGGATAAGTCACTGTAGCCAAGAAATGGAGAGAGCGATAAAGAAGAAACAGGATCTGAGAGACACACACATGGGTGTTTTTTAAAGTAAAGCCAAGACGAAACACTAAAATCAGAAACTGCTGGAAAAGATGTTCCACGTGGTCACCTGAGTCTGCACGTGTGCTGAGAACCCATAGAACTAAGCACACATGCACACGCACATGCACACACACATGCACCCGCGGGACTGTGGCACCTGAGCAAGTTCCGGGGAGTGTGTCAGTGGGTGGGACCTTGTGCTCTAGTGTGGCAAGATGTTGTGAACACGTAAAGAGGGAAGGGGTGTCTACATTAATTTATCAGTAGCCTCATGAGAATCCACAACTATCTCAAAATTAACATTTTTAGAAAAAATATTCCATAAAATGTTAAAACTGTATTTAAATGAGCAAATTTCACAAAGAACTGTTACTGTGCTTTATTTAAAAGTAATGAACTAAAAATCTACTTTAAGCAAAATTTCATGCTTTTTTTCCCTGATAGYATTTGCATACATAACTGTACATCTCTTCAAAATGTGGGAACTCTTGATGTATTTTCAATAAATAATCAATTAGAAGTGATTTCTTACATTCTTAAACAAGGAGTGGCATCCCAGAAACATGGAAGAAGAGGCAACGATTCCAACAGGCATACGTTTGTTCCTATTCCAATAGAGAAAATATTCCGCAAACACAGTGGGGAAATACTCACCTGGAACTGATATACATTTTATTTTAGGGTATTAAACCTGTGTTCCCTTTTGTCAAGTACACACAAAATTCTAAAGCAAATGGTGTGTAAAAATAATTCTCCAAGTAGCGTAGAGATTGAAGTTTTTGTATTTGGAGTCGCACAAGRTGAGAGGGAAAGAGCAGGGTGCATGGCAGGGAGAAAGAGAACAGGCCCCGACCTCAGTCCCAGGAACGTATTCTGCGTCTCTGTCCAGGAGTGAGCCTTTGAATGTGTCTTAATGGAACGTTTGCTTTGGAACGGCAACAGTGACAGTGACAATGTGAGTTTCATGCTGATGTAAACTGAGGCACAATGGATCTCTTTTCTTGAGCGATTACTGACGGTTGTCACATCAAAGGGAGACTTGGATCTGAAACTGGAAAAGCCAGCACGTAACTTTATTCCAACAGGARGGAGATCCTTAGTGGTTAGTTGAACCCAAGCAGTGTTGACATGCTTAGGACGTCTGTGTCACTTCAGAGGCGGCTCCGCTGTTGGGAGTAGGTGAGGATCCTGTGATGACCAGTGGGACGGACATGGTTTTGAGAGGGCTGCGGCTGCTGCKAGGGACCCTCCCTCTGCCGTTGAGGGGCGAGGCTCTGG